TCCTCGGGTTTTGCAAATTTTGATCATTTTGAGAGAAAGAGAGGCGTGCTAAGCCCTTAATGAGTGAAATCATGCTTGTCGGCGTGAGTACTGAGAAGGATCCTGGCCTAATCCAGATTGGTTCCACGCTATCTTCGGCGCGAGCGATTTTCGCTTTCTTAAAAACTTTCAAAAACAAATATTTTGCGCGGCCCTGCGAAGACCTGTGTGGAATCCCTCTTGAGGTCGTGCAGCCTAAGATCGCTCTTAGCCTCAAGATTCAACCTATTCGTTTTCCGACTTTGAACCCGTTCAGAACGTTCAGAAAGTTCAACGGACAAACTCCATGAAAGGCCCGTGTGGCCAGTTTTGAAGTAGCCTTCGATCAAGAAGCATCAAAGCCGAATCAGAAGAAGTAGATCTCGCTGGAAGAAGCTCGTAGAGCAACCATGATGGATTCTACTGCAAATCAGTGCAATAGCCATTCTCCTAGACACAGAGGGGCTTCCAGTTCAGGAACCATTTGGCATGGACTTGCTACACTTTTACCCTTTGAGAGGCTCGCTGGGCCGAAAACCCGGAAGGGCGACCCAGGCAAAAGTTAGAGCAAGAGAAAAATACAAAAAAAGAAGAAAAGAAAAGAAATAAAAAAAAAGAAAAAGAAAAAAAAAGAAGAGCAAAAAAAAAAAGAAAAAAGAAATAGAAAATGAAAGAAGCTCACAAGGTCGAAAACCCACATCGGGCGCCTTGGCAAAAGTTAGAGCCTAAAAAGTGAAGGTTAAAACACCCGAATGTACCTTAACCGGAACTACGTGAGGCTTGATTCCCATGTTTGGGATACGTAGGCAACTTCATCGTGAAGTCCAGCCCCCAACGCTTTCATAGCGTCTCGGTCCATGCAATGGTTTCGATTTCATCCCAAAGTCTAGTCGCCAACGCTTCCAAAGGCGACTGTGTCCATATATTTGTTGTGACCGTCTTCGTCATCGCTGTGTCCAAGAGTTCGACCACCGCGAATGAAGACTGTCTGCGGATTGCTGCGGCACCACCCAAACAAGGGGCAACTTTCCGTTGCCACGAGCCGCCGTGAGCCGCCATTCAAACCAGAGGTAACTTTCCGTTGCCTCCCACCCCCCTTCAAACCAGGGGCAATTTTCCATTGCCTCCAATCCGAGGTTGCGCATCTCGAAGAGTAAGTTCTATGCTTGTTGAGCATCAGCTGTTTGAAAAATAGTTTTTGAAATTTTTTTTACTGAGGTTGACTATTTTCTCGAAAACTATTTCATTTTCCAAAACTGGACCATTGTCTTGGACCCAAAAAAGGAAAATTTTCAGTGCTTGCTGCCTGATTTGCATGCTTTTCAAATCAAAAAATCGAACAAGTACATTAATCCGACGCTCATCTTGATCAAAATTGTTTTAGTAGAAAGCAAAAACAAAGAATGGTTAAAATGATGAACAAGGGGCACAGTTGAGCCAGGTGTTCTGTCTTTCCCCCGTCATCGACGTACTTGCCAGAAGAGCACTCTGCCCACCAGAAGAAATGGCCGTGAGCTAACGGTGTTGAGCATGAACCCACACCGTTCTATTTATCCATCAATCACCCCGGGGAGGGATGAAAAATGAGAGAATGAAGAATAGAGAGGTGTAAGTTGAGAGAAAAGTGAGAAAAAGGGTTTTGAGAGAAAATCCGAGCTTGAGAGTCGAGTGATGTGAGAACCACAAATCAGAAAGGGTGGGAAACAATGCCTAGAGAAACTGGCTCCTCGTGATCTGAGGTCCCCCGTCTTCGTCAGCGTGTCTGTATGTCGTGTCTTTTGTTTTGTATATCTCAACCTTTGTTTTTGGTCTTTTTCGAGCGTGTCTCGTTGTGTTAGGTCGTGTACCTATAAATGAGTCCTCCCCGCTGCGTTCAGTTGTAGGCTCGATACCCCAGTTTGAAAAACCCTTATCCAATTACAAAAATCGTTTATGCTCAGAATGTCGTGCCATTCTCTATATTCGATTGTGTTTCAACCCTAGCCGGTTTCACCATTGAAGGCCGTCTTGTCAGATTGGGCTGTTTTGTTTGAAGTTTGCCGTGTGTAGAATGAAATGAATGCTGTGTTACGGGCTGCATGCAGATTAATCCCCCAACAGAGTAAGGGCTGTGTGTTCAGAATCAGGCAGTGGGCTGCTTGGGTTGTTTTGCTGTTGGCTGTTTAGTTATCTGATTATTACAGTGCAAGTGTTCAATTTTCAGACAACCAATCAATTCCATTTACATTGAGGTGTAACATGATGAGATGCGATGCAATGCATGAGATATGTAAATGTAACACTTTTCAGATAAAAAGTCCGTTTCATTTCATTATTTTTCAAATGTACAAGTTTTGGAAACAAAAATCTGCCTGCGGCAGTACAAGGTAATCTAACTACCAACAAAAGGAAAAGTACAAGAAAGAAAAGATAGCAAAAATCTTGCATCCTGTCAGAACTCGGGGGCCGTCAGTCCGTCCTAGTCCCTCTTCTGGACGAGGGTCAGGAGCATCATCAGCAGTCGTCGTCAGAGCCTGAGCTAGAACCGCCTCCGGTCTCCTTGGCCTCCGCCTCTGCCTCCGCCTCTGACTCCTCGTCGTCATCATCGTCCGGGACTGGAGCTCGCGAGCTACTCCCGACATGAGTACGCCCTCCCCTGGTACGGGGAAATATCCTGCCCTCCTCATCTCTCCCCCGAGCAGGGACAGAAGGCCCAGCTGGTGCACCTCCTGCCATGGGAATCTGGAAAGGAGGCTGAAAAAGTACACAAAAGGGAAATGCATCAGTATACTGTAGACAGTTTATCAGTGCAGAATACAATGTCGAGTACGGTGTATGAATGCCGTGAGCAGTTTATCAGTGCAGAATGCAATACAGAGTATAGTGTATGAATGCTGTGAGCAGTTTATCAGTACAGAATGCAGTGTATGAGTACAGTATGAGAATGCCGTGAGCAGTTTATCAGTGCAGAATGCAGTGTATGAGTACAGTATGAGAATGCTGTGAGCAGTTTATCAATGTAGAGCATAGTGCAGAATGCAGTGTATGCAGTGTATCAAATGCTGTGAGATCAGTGTATCGGGTGTTGTGTCGTGCATCAGATTATGTAAAGCAGTGTATGAATGGTTTAAGGCCAGTGTTAGAAGGACATACCGGTATGCTGTAGAGGGCCAGGAGGTCAAATGTCCGCTGAAGCATCCCCATCATCGAGGCATTCATCGCCAACGACTGACGGGTGTACCCAGAAGAAGCCTGCAAAAGTATCAGATGCATCAATATTCTGTGGAATATCAAATAAACTGAAAATGAATGACTATACAAAATGCAGTAATACATACCGGAGGTAAATCGGGGACGCCGATGAGCTCGTGACCAGCCAGTGGAAGGGCGAAGGGGATCTGATAAGTCGACCCACCCTGCCCCTGAAAAGTCAGTACAGCAGGCAGGGCAGGCCAGCCAGCTCCCCGTCCTCCCTGCACTCCGCCCCTACCGCGGACTCTGGCCCTCCTCACAGCCCCTACTCCAACTCCCACTCCGGCCCCAGTCGCCGATGCTACAGGCCTGGCCCCCTCTGCTCAACGGCCGCTCAAAGGTCACATCAGGTACGTCCGCACGTACTCCTGATAGTCTCCGGTACCTCTGAAGCTGGCCTCCTCCCAGCCAATGGTGTAGTCATGCATCTGCTCGCTGGTGAGCCTCTCGGTCTCCCTCATATCCGCAGGAGGGTGAACCGGGACTATCTGCTCAGGTAACCCCAGGGTCTGGCGTAGGAAACGCTCCCCCAGGTACCAAGCCCGACAGACCGGGCCCTCAAGCAAGATTCGAAAACGCGAGGTCTCCTCCGCACCAGCGAACCGATCCCGCATCGCCGCCGGCAAGGGAGCCCACGGCCGCCATGTGATCTGAAAGTGACAGACAGTTTGTTATTTACTGTTTTGGAAATATAGAGTGGAAAAGCGAAGCTTAAATGAACTGTAAGTAAAACATACCTCGGCAGGGGTAATGGTGTCAAAGTATCGGCGGAAGAAGCCGAATGTCTCCCGTGGTCGCCGGGTGCATCTCCCGTCGAAGCGACTCGAAAACGGGACGGCCAGAGAAGTCTCCGCAACTGGCACAGGAGCGAGCCTAGGGAAGTAGGCGTAAACCCACAACTGCAAGATAAATACCAGTGCATTTATCAGTTGAAGCAAAATGCAGAATAAAGTAGAAATGGCAGAGCCGTGTGTTGTGCAGTGTATAGTGTACAGTGTACAGTGTGAGCCGTGTGCAGTCAGTGTAAAGCAGAATGTATGTGTGTGCCGTGTGTACAGTATACAGCAAGTGTAAAGCAGACTACAGTGTGTGCAGTGTACAGAGTACAGAAAGTACGAGACAGAAATGAAAAAGCGGAGAAGAAGTGTACCTCCCAAGCCCGCCAGTAGCCTCCGAGTAGCTGGCCGCTGCCGCGCGAAGCCGAGCTCATCTACCTGTAGAGAGTGGACAGAGCGGCGCCACCCCAGTCATAATGCAGGATGTCCCGGACGTCCACCAGTGCGCTGAGAAGACAGAGAGGCACGATGTTCGCCCGATCGGCGAAGATGGTAGTCCCGAACAGGAACATGAGGAAGCCGCGAGCATACCTCTGCACGTCCTCCTGGGTCATCTGCGCCTCCTCCTCCAACACGAGCTGGACCCGAAACTGTACCTCGAACCAAGAGTATCGAACGAAGCCTGGGCGAGCTAGGGGTGGCGCCTCCCCCAGTAGATGGACCTGAGCGGCGGTCCACTCATCCATGTCAATGTCGAAAGGGATCGGATCACCCCCCACCCCGCTGCCAGTGAGCATCGAGAAATCATAAGGGGTCATCGTCATGTCCCCTACAGTGGAAAAATGAAAAGAATCCGTGGTGTCCCACCACCTCTCCGCCAGAGCGGCAAGGAAAGGTCTGCATGTGGAGAGCCTGGAGAGTCCTCGGCAGAAGGTGCCGAAACCCGCTCGATCCACGATACGTCGGACCGCGTCAGGGAGCTCATCGTACCACTCCCGAGCACCAGTATTCCCATACCCGCGAATGGTATGGGAACCCTCCTGTAAACCAAAAATAACAATTGCAAGACAACATTCAAAATGCAGTTTTGAAAAAGCAGATAAAGCATGTGTGCAAGTTAGTCAGATTTAAACAAATACCGGGTGCCGGTGTGTTTACAGTGAACTACAACGTGTGATGTGTCAGCGTGTTTGGGTGTTTCAGAACAGATATAGCATTGTGTGCAAATTTAACAGATTCAGACAAATACTGGGTGCCAGTGTGTATGTAGTGAAATACAGTGAGTGCAGTGTGTTTGAGTAATTCAGGGCTAGTGCAGTGTGTGTGCATGTGTCAGTCTCAAGCAGATATCAGTTGTATGTATGTTTACAGTCAACTACAGTCTACAGCATGTCAGATTCAAGCAATTAAAGAATACAACTAGCTATGACAGTTTTTGTATCCTACATTGCGAAAAGTAAAGCAAAAGAAAGAAAGTTACCTCGGAAGTGCCGAATAAAAGGTGGGAGGTAGGCTTGCGCAGTAGTAGCTCAGGCGCCACGTGCCTCTCAAAACTCCGGAACTGACGCAGGCCGTCGGGGGGCAGAACATGGATCGCCGGTCGGTAGGTCGCCAGGTCAAACGGGCGCTTGCTCAGTGGTAGGAGCTCGACCCCGGGATCCATCTCGTGGTCCGGGGGAGTCCCGCCACGTGGAATATCGTCTGCCATATCAGAAATGATGAGAAAATGGCCGGAGGAAGGAAAACCGGGCCGGAATACAAAGAGTCAACCGAAAAGTCAACTCCCGAGAGGATCGGAAACGGCCGGAAACGCCGGAATGTGAAAAGGCACAGGAATGAAGAGGAAAACAAGGGGAACAAACCCCAAAAAGGAGGGAACGCCAAATGAGGCACTGAAGCGAAAATGTGATCGGTTGAAAATGTCCGAAACGCGAAGAAAATCGCGAATCCGACGATGAAACGGGCGTAGAACGCGAAGAAACGGAGAAACGGGGAGACAAAAACGCTCTAGAGAGAGAGGGCAAGAGTTTTCGGCGGTAGGGAAGTGAGGACATAGGGTTTGAAACCCTATTTTAAAACACCCAAAGTGAAAAGTCGAAACTGCCCCGATTCAGCAACTGTTTGTCGGTCGGCAATGTTTTGTGCCGGCCGGCACTTTTTTGTGCTGATGGAATTATTCCTCAGCCGGTGGACAGCCGGTGGCCTCCCCTCCCGGCCGGTGATGTTCCCACAACCTTGTTTAGGCCATATGAGGAGTTTTTGGTCTTCATAGCTCAAGAAAGTGCAAGAAAGAGCATCTTCGTTGCTCAACCGGCCTCCGTTTTGACTTCGGACTGCATCTGCCGTGCGTAGCACTTCAACCCATGCAAGGTGTATCCTTTTCATATCCTTTTGACTTTTACGAGGTCCAAAAGTTACCCCATGTATATCGCATTTCAAACTGCCGCACTGTTTTGTGCATTTCAAACCATCGCACTGTTTTGTGCATTTCAAATCGTCGCACTGTTTTGTGCATTTCAAACCGTCGCACTGTTTTGTGCAATTGGAATTGTCGCACTGTTTTGTGCATTGTATTTCAATCGCGCTGTTTTGCGCATCGCACTGTTTTGTGCACCTCACTTGCATCTTGCATGTATCCATTCGCGCTATCTTGCGCATGTGCATGGTCTGGCGAGACCTTAAACACATACGGTCTAGGAGACCTTAAATCCTTGGAAGGTGCAAGACCTTTAATGCATTGGTGTGCGCACTATTGCTTTGTACATGTCTTAAAGCCGCGTGTTGTTGCGCATTTCATGTAACATGCATTTCTTGCATCATGTGCATCTCAAAAAAAAAAAAAAAAAAAAACAATCATAGCGCATTGTCATGCATTTCCATTGTAGCTTGCATGCATCCATTGCATTTTTCAGTAGTCGCATCGCACTGCATTGTCATGCATTTTTGTAAACATCCATCCCATTGCATATTTGTAGATATCGCATTGTAGATTGCATGCATTCATTGCATCGCCTTCCGTCTATGGCTTGCGCCTTTCCAAGTTAAGCTTGGTTCGGTATGTGCCCTTACTGATCATGTTAAAACACAGTTCTGCATGTGTATCGCACCGATTCCACGCTGATATGTTGGTTGAGGGTTGCGACACCTTTTCTGTGTTACACATGGCTCGTATGTGTACATGCCTTTCCTAGGCAAGATTTGGTTTGGCTTGCGTGCCATATCCATTGTATCCATATCCACTCCATTGCATATTTGTAGATATCGCATTGTAGATTGCATGCATTCATTGCATCACCTTCCATCCATGGCTTGCGCCTTTCCAGGTTGAGCTTGGTCCGGTATGTGCCCTTACTTTTCATGTTAAAACACAGTTCTGCATGTGTATCGCGCCGATTCCACGCTGATATGTTGGTTGAGGGGTGCGGCACCTTTTCTGTGTTACACATGGCTCGTATGCGTACATACCTTTCCTAGGCAAGATTTGGTTTGGCCTACGTGTCATATTCATGTATTACATTGTATTGTAATTTTTGCATCCGGCATTAGGATCGTAGTCCTTTCTCCAGCGGGTCGTTTCCCCACTTATGTCAATTCCACCCAATACTTGTTCTTGCGGCTGTCTACAATACTCATAGTTCAGTTGACCGTTCTATGGTAGACAGACTTGTTATGTTACACAACTCCAATCAATCTATTTGACATAGGTATGGTTTCGAACCGCTCATGATTGGTCATGATTCAAATGCTTTGCATGTAGTTGTATTTTTCAATTACATTGCATCTTCATTTGCATTGTTATACATTGTTTTGTATATATTGCATTTCGTTTTGCATCCACATTTGCATTGTCATGCATGTTGCTAACAATATTGTACCTGTTAAGTTTGTTTCTTTTCAGGCACGATATTGTATGTACGGTTCATTTGAGGTTGGTGCAACCAGACGAGCCGCACAGGTATTGTATCTCCCGAGTGAGACGTATTGAGAATTGCATAATTCTCTTACATCCTTTCTGCATTGTATGTAGTTTGGTGTATGCTAGCTTAAAACTATCGCATGTATGCTTCGTTACAGCTTTCTTTGCATGATCATAGTTATGGCTCGGCTTCGTGCATTGTCTTGCATTTTGCCCCTGCCTTCGGGCGCATATCTTGATTGTCTTGCATGTTTGTCTTAAGTCTTCGCCTTGTCAAAAATGGGTCGTCTCTGGCTTTGACATTCACTTCCGTCATTGTTATGACTTCCGAGTTCTGTCAAAGAGGGGCAACTGTAGACACCCCATTTTTGACCGTCCTCAAGACTTGGACGTCACCGTTTGAACACTCGGTGATTATCTATGTTTGTGTTTGTTTGGAGTTCCCGGAGGTTCTCGCTTCGCTTCTGGCTACACGCCTACCTCAGGATCTCCAAACTCGACCGTTTAGTGTCTGTTTTCACACCAAACACTTGTGTTTTTCTTTGAAGGGAGGGTAGGGTTTGTTGGCCATCCCCACACCCTCACCGGCCTCCCATACATCCACCGGCATAGCTGAGGCCACCGGCGTTGTTTTCTTCCCACCGGCCATTATATGATGGCGGCCGGCTATTTGGATGAGTTCGACCGACACTCTGTTGGCCGATGGCTTCCTTTTCTTGGCCGATACCCTTTTTGCCTTTTAACAGGCATAATACATGCTAGCTGTGCCAGCGTGGAAGCACGGACCCTCCTCCCCATGCACGGGTGTGGGCTGTTTTGAACCTTGACCCTTTTGGGACCCAACTTCTTCACCCTTTGCTCAAGCTTTCTTGAGGAAGCTTGACCATCTGTGTTTGCTTCCTCAAGAAGCTTGGCACCCTTAGCTTGAGCTTCCCTGAAGACATTGAACTCCCTTTAGGATAGCTTCTCTTGGAAAGCTAGCCTTTCCATTGTCCATTATAGAGCACTCTCTCCTCTTTGTGTTGGTTCAGCAAATTAGACCCTAAAACATTATATATTCGATATATCATCTTCTCTCTCTCTATATCTCCCTCTCTCTCGCATTTGTGGTGTGTTTGAAGGCCTAAAAAGTGTATTTAGGTTCTTAGTTTTGTACTAGTCACTACTATTACACGCATACTATACTTTGGATGGTCTTGAGGAGTTTGTTCTTGGAGCTTTTGGGTCGGTTTTTGTCAGAATAAGGGGTTGAGCTGCTGTTCTTGGAAGTGTTCTCAAGGGTAACACTATTTACTTTATATTCCCCAATTCTGCGCACTTAGTCTTTAACCTATCTTGCATACTGATTTAAGCTTTGCGTATAACTGAAAAAAAGTCTGTATTTGCATGCTAAAGATTCTTCATTTAAGGTCATTTTGGTGTTGCGGGGTTCGACCTCCCCCTCTTAGGCCTGTTTGGCCTTTTTGTGCTCTCTTGATAACTTTTGGGACTTTTTGTGATATTGTGCCTTCTCACCAC